TTTTTCATCTGTTATCTCAAAATATCAAGTTAATAACTGCAACTGTTGACAAAAAACCTTGAAATGTTGATGTTACAGATATTTTATCTAGAGCATTCATGTTCTTAATGGTCAGCTATTGTCTTAACTGCTTATCTAATCCTGATTGGAAGGAAGGCTCGAGCCAACCCCAGCTGTCATCGAACAAAAGGTGAGGTGGGACACCATAGACAAATCGCCAGGCCATCACAGGGCTACGTCACCTAGGTACTGCTGTAAATAAATAAATACAGCAATAAAATATCAATTTACTTTGCTTCTCTGAGCAAAATGCTACATGGCTATCCAGCTAGCTACCATGTGTTATACCATACCATGGTGGAATGGTTTTATAAGCTTGCACGTTATTTATCATCCCAGAGATTTTCATGCAGACAGTTGAATTTAAAGTTTACTAAGCAACAAAACATCAAAAATATAACAGAAATGCCAACTGTTTGGCAAATGAGGGAAAGGGAAAGCTACTGAGGGAAAGCTAGCCGGGGTGACTATAATAATAATAATAATAATAATAATAAACGTTATTTAAAAAGCACACTTAAAACCAAGGGTATGCCAAGGTGCTTAACAAGTAACATAGAGAATAAAAGGAAGATAACAGAAATAGGACCAAAGCAAGTACTAGGTATGCAAGCAGATAGCTGTCACTGATACATAGGAACAAACAAGGAATTAAATGAGCATAAAAGTGCATAATAATAAATCATAAAAGAAATGTTAACTAGAGGGAAAGGCAAGATTGAATAAGATTGAAACAGTGCAATAGAATCAGAGGCGTGGATATCAATTCCACCGTACCGGGGCAGCCAGTGCAAACGCACGGTCACCCCGAGATTTCAGCCGAGATCTAGGTTGCGGCAGAAGTAGTTGAGTGGCAGATCTAAGTGTTCTAGCAGGAGTATGTGGCCTGAGAAGTTCACTAAGATAACTCGGTGCTAATTTATTAATAGTTTTAAACGTAAGGAGTAATATTTTAAATTGAATACAGTACTTTATGGGCAGCCAGTGCAAGCCAGCTAGAACAGGAGTAATAGAGCAAAATTTCCTTGTACCAGTCAAGAGGCAGGACTGTTTGCAGTCTAAGAAGAAGAGAAGAGGGAAGACCGTAGTACAAGGAGTTACAATAATCCAACCTGGAGGTCACAAAAGCATGAATAAGCTTCTCCAAGTCCTCATGCGGAACATAATACCTAGCCTTAGAGATAAGGCGCAGTTGGTGGAAGCTAGATCTCACTACAGCAGAGACTTGCTCATCGAGTTTGAGCGAGCTATCCAGCAGTACACCTAAGTTACTGACATAGTCACAGGAAGAGCTAGCAAAGGGACCCAGGGCAGCACAAAGCTGGACACGAGGGATTTTACTGTTGAACACCACAATCTCAGTCTTCGTTTAAAACGAGGGAATTACTCAGGAACCATTCTTTGACCTCACGCATGCATTCTTGAAAGTAGTGCAGGGACACAGCAAGGCCGTCAGTAAGTTCAAAATAGATCTGTATGCTGTCGGTGTAACAGTGGAAGACGATATTGTATTTTTCAAAGATTACGTCTAGAGGGAGCAAATACAATGAGAAAAGAATAGGGCCTAAAACTGACACTTGAGGTACACCACAACACACCGGAGCGGAGGAAGAGGAGAAGGTGCCCAAGTTAACCGAAAAGGACCTGTCAGCGAGGTATCATTTAAACCAGTCCACCATATCAAAAGCTGAAGAGAGGTCCAATAAAACTAGGACCATAGAGTGTCCAGTATCAGTAATTACAAGAATATCATTAAGAACTCTAACCAACGCCGTTTCAGTGCTATGCAATGGCTTAAAGGCAGATTGAAATTTCTCAGCAATATTGTTCGTGTCCAAGTACGCCTGGAGCTGGGAGAGAACTAGTCTCTCCAGGATCTTGGACAAAAACGAAAGCTTAGAGATCGGTCTGTAGTTTAAAAGGTCATAACAGTCTGTTTCTTTTTTTAAGAATCGGGTGGACTACAGCATGCTTAAAAGCCAAAGGAACACAGCCTGAGAGCAAGGAAAAGTTCATAAGAAATAAGATACTAGGTCCAATTACATCAAAACAGTCCTTAGCTAAACGAGATGGAAGAATGTCAAGCACAGTATTGATGTTATTCACTTGAACAACTAGCCGCTTAAGAGACAAAAGTGACACAGGCTAAAACTGGTGGAAAGTTGAAATGCACTCAAGAATGGGGAGAGGACATGGGGAAGGGAGGACTTAAGAGATGAGACCTTCTCTAAAACGTGAATTTGAAATCGCTCACAAAGAGCCTGAGAATAAGGTAAAGGCATGTCCGGGCAAGGGTTAACCACTGAGTTAAAAATTCTAAATAAGGTAAGGTGCGGGGGTTATGACCATTGGCCCGGATGATTTTGGATAAGAAAGACGCTTTGGCCATTTTAGCAGCACTTTGGAGTTTTAAGCAGCTAGTCTGTAGCATGTCGTAAGAAACCTGAAGTTTATCTTTTTTCCACCTTATCTCAGCGCGCCGACACACGCGACGTAGAGCGCCCGTAGTGTCATTAAGCCAACACTGAGAGTAAGTTCTAGGGCGATTCATTTTAATAGGGGTGTTGTGCCAAGAAGTGATTGCCTGCCAAAAACTGATTTCCAATGTTTCCGTGTGTTTTTTATGTGTAATATTGTTACGTATGTTGCTAAATAGACTTCGGTGAACAGGTATTGCAAAGGGGTCAAATACACAATTTAAAAAAATTACCCGTTTCTCAATTATCTTTGTAGCTGTGTTATTGTACTTAATTATAATCAATCAGCTTCCTTTTGTCCACTTAAAATATGTTTACAGAACAATTTTTGCATTTTTTGCAATTTCAGCTGTCCTCTTGGCCAGACTACTCTTAAAAGAGACATTTTTAAAGCAAACAAGAATTTTTTTTTTAACTGCATAAATAAAGGATACATAAAAGTCACTGCCAAAAAGTGATTGCGGCTTCTACCTCGTTACAGGAATGTTGTTTGTTGGTCAAGATGACTTGATATAATTCATGAGGGATATATTTGACATATGTTTCACATATTGTAGATCAACAAGTTATTTATAGCAGTTTAAATACAAGCAATCAGTTTTTGGCACAACAGGGGCAAGAGTATCAAGGATAGAAGAAAATAACGATAGCAAGGTATTAGCACAGTCATCAACCGAGTGAAATGAACAACAGTCGGGAGTGACAGATGCAGAATCCAAGAAAGACATAGAGAAGTTTGACACCGCTTCAGCATTGATTACACGTAGTGGGTGAAGGGGGAGCCGCAGGATGTAGTTCGTTAGTGCATAAGCCAGTATCAAATATAACTGGGAAATGATCCGAGATCCCAGCGTCACTTATATCCATGATACAAATGAAATAAGTACTTCCTGCATAATCGAGACGTTATTTTCAGGACAATTAATACTCTGCATTATACAGTACTGCTTACAGCGATCCACTCTAATTACTCATGGTTGATTATTATTCAATACACATTAGGTTTACACCATCCATGTTTACATCATATTGATAAGGAAAAGCAAAGTTTGATATCACTTTATAATCACTCCTCATTGAAAACTTCCATTGAAACTTTAGCACACTGTCCTTTAAAGGAGACCTATTAAGCTTTTTTATTTTCTCTCATATAAATACAGTTACAATGGTGGACGCTAGGGTGTAAGCCTAAGTATAAACAATGAGCCAAAAGCTTAAAATAGCTTTTGACTTTAGAATAAAAATGTAAAGCCTTAAATAAGCTTAGTTAAGGCTTTACATTTTTATTCCACTTTTAATGTCAGGCATCCATGGTTGGTTGGTATTTTTTTGTCAGAAAATATTCAAAAAGCAAGTCTCCAAGTCATAATTACGGCTTGTATGTTGAAATTATCATTATTTACATGTTAGACACCATTAATTGTGGCAACTACTGTGTGACATAAACGTGCTCTTATAATAGCAGGAAAAGCACAGGCGTAATTAATGTCATTAGCTTTATGTAGCTCTGATTCATTTGGAAGGCAAAGTGAATAGTACACAGTACGGGGACTGTGAACATGCAGAATGAATTATAAATTATTTAAAAAGTGGAGAAATTGTAGAATAACTGCCATAATTAAGGAAAAAATGAACTCTGGTGAACTGTAAAAAATATAGAATATATTTATTCAAGATTATTTCATAATGTGTTATTATCTATTCAGTACTGGCCATTTAGTTCTACAGGAGGATCGTAATAACTCTTCAATGGAGGAACATCTGGCATTAGGAGAACAGATTATTCACTTCATCTGGTGTGAAAAGAAGGGAAGCACACTGAGGGAGACATTTAAAGTAAATCACTAATCCCCACTCCATCACTGCACTGACGTGAGTAGTGTACAGCCATCATATCCATAGTAAACCCAGCTGGTGCTCTAAAGTCATGCAGAGGGACAGATGAGTATATTTAGCAGAATATGGAGACAACTGAGGAAAATTACATTTGACAGAAATGTGTTATTCTTCTGAAGTAATAGACTATTCAGTATGTTTCATTAAAAAAGAGCACAAGGGAATGAACAGAAATCCTGAGGGGGCTGAAGCAGTACCTGGATGGTGGTGTACAGAGACTGTCCGTATATCTTCTTGAAACTGCCTCTGATGTCCAACATGTCCACCTCACTCCTGGACACCATTATCCTCATCAGAGTGTCATCATCAGTTCCAGCTCGCTAAATACACAGAAAGAAAGAAAGAAAGAAAGAAAGAAAGAAAGAAAGAAAGAAAGAAAGAAAGAAAGAAAGAAAGAAAGAAAGAAAGAAAGAAAGAAAGAAA